AACATTATCCAAGGTTAATTAAATATTTACAAAACAGATTTAATTCTAGGTGTTGCGCAACAAGTTTCAATATTCTAAAAGAAATTTAACGCAATTCAAAACTCCTATAGGCCGTTTTGGCATTTAATCAGAGTAACAAAAGACATCCAAAACGAACAAAACTGAAATCAAATCACTCAACTCTTGAAACGTTAATTTAACATTCGGCCATAGTGAAAAAAAAACAAAAACAACAATATTCAATAAATGTAACCAGTAACTGCAGTTAATTGTCACCAGACTAGCGTTAGCTTACTGGCGTTTTAAATGCGCGACCGCGTTCCTCCGCCACTGCCTCGTTTGAGCTTTGGACAAAATGCATTCTGGGATATTGCATTTCGTCATTTCGAGCTGATTGGAGACCAAAACAGCTAATCAGATTTTTTTTGCATCCAAGTCTGTGATTGGCTGGTTTTGTGGCACAAATATAACGGTGTAGAGAAAGAGTTGAGCGCGCACAGGCAGAAATGTTGAGAGCGCGAGCAACACATTGCAAGCGAGCGCAAATGCAAAAACCGAGTGAGAGGAGCTGCTATTGTGTGTGTGTGGATAATAGCAAACACCGAAATACATTTTTTGCAATTTTGTTCACTTAAATTTAGCTTTTCTTCACTCAAAATACATTTCTTCTCAAAATGCAACACTTGCACCTGCAATATTTTTTTTATGTGCGCTCAGAATAGTGGCACAAAAATAACACCATAGTAAATGGACTGATTCTTATATAGCGCTTTTCTACTCTCCTGGAGCACTCAAAGCACTTTATACAAGACTCTGCATTCACCCATGCACTGTTTTCTATGCCTTTCAGTGCTTTCTAATTAATTAACTAACATTCATACTTGATGGATGCATCGGAGAGCGAGTGGGGGTTAGTATCTTGCCCAAGGATTTTTGACATGCAGAGTGGGGGAGCCAGGGATCAAACCGCAACCTTCCAATCAGTAGATGGCCTGCTTTACCTCCACCTCAAGTCTGGGTCATTTACTCTGTCATCTCAACCCCCCCCCCCACATATATAATTAGCTTCACATATCAAATACTTTTCAAGATACTTGTTTTTCGTTTGCAATTTGGTCCAGGCCTAAAGTCTGAGGCAATGTTTTAACATTTAACATTTTCATTGGCTTTTTTGTTTCTTTAAACAATCAAAGTGAATCACGATGTGTAATTTGAGACAGATCAAAAAAGTGTGCAGTAAATGAAATATGAAAAAATCTAAGCCATTCTCACCTGCCAGAGACAACTAGTGATGACTTCTGAATAGTATATAATATTAAAGTAAAACATGTAGAACTTTTTTTTGCATGAAATTGTTTGGCACAAAAATTAAGAAAACTTTTATTGTACTGTATTTTTCAGACCATAAGGCACACCAGATTATAAGGCGCACTAAGCGAAACAAAGCAGTCAGATAAATCAAACTTTATTAAACTCATTCTTCTTGCTTCCTCCACTTCCGTACCATTGATTCATTAATGTTGAATTCTCTGGCAGCTTCTCTATTCCCATGTTGTTGCAGTATATTAATGACTAACCTCGTATTGTGGATGGATTATCTCAGTTGTTCTCCTGACTGAAGTTTGGTCCGTTTACAGCATCCTGCCATGCGATTGCATTTGTCTCTAACTATCAGGAACCCTCATGTTATCCAGTGGAAAAAAGTTAGCGTTCATCCTCCAGCTTCACTGTGTTTATGTTATGCTAACATAGCTGTGTTGCTAGCCAACACATAGCACATCATTATATAGCAGCTAGCCCAACTTAAGTAACCCTACAAACGTCACTGCTGTTTAGTTTCCTGTCTTCATTTATGTTGGAAGTGATAGCAGAGCTGTACGTTTGAATTATTTCAGAAATCTCTCAGTCAAACATGCTAAATCATGTTTAAGTGGAAGCTAGCGAGCTAAAGTCCTGCTAACTTCTAATTCCATTAAATGTCATAAATTCCGTTTTCATGGATGCCTGGATGTTAAACTTCATAGTTACACCTGGTAAAGCAGCAATGCTGATCATTTTATTAAAGATGAAAGAATTTAGACAGTTTTTAACTCTCAGTGATACCGCAGTGTTCGTTTGACTTTGGGACCGGAAAAGACGGAGTTTAGGACCCAGATTACTTCGCGAGGCTCCTGATCACTGTAACCATTATGCTCTGAAAATCCATCAAGTGGTGCGGCTTCTTAGCTTACCAAAGTCGTATTAAAACATTTTTTGACAGATTTTTAAGTGCTGTGTACCATATAAAATCGGTTTGAGATCAGTAAGCACAACTAGAATTCATACATAAGGCGCACTGTTGATTTTTGAGGAAATTAAAGGATTTTAAGTGCGCCTTAGAGTGTGGAAAGTACAGTAGTTAGTAATTATCATTTTATAGTAGTGTGTATTCAAATATGGGAATTTTTAAGAGAGCTTGAACTTTTTTTTTGTATTTTAGCCAATACTTAGAATCTTTTCTAAATTCCTTTTGATGAAAACAGAAGTGATGAAAGACAAGTAATAATTTCAGGCTTTTATCTGTAATAGTCTTTGGGCCATTCATGTTCCAATATTGTCTCCGATTTCAATATGCCTGAAAATGAGTGGATGGACCATTTTTCTAAAAACATATATCTTGAAAAGTATTTGATATATGAAGCAAAAATTTCTCAGCAATAATTATTTGGGTCTCAGAAATAAACAATATGTTAATATTTAACATAATAATTTCATTTTTTCACCATGTGGAGATTCCAGAATTTTATTCTGTTTGGACACTTTACCAGTGTTTGTGATTTTCTGCTACAACTTGTCATATTTACTTGATCCAACTTGAGTGAAAAATGGCATTATCTTAATTTTTGTGACTATGAATTTTATGTTCAAAAAATATTCTACATGCTTTATTTCGTAGTATTGTTAAATTCAACTATATACCATTAAAAAAGTGTCACTCGTGTGTGTGTGAAGTGTTTTATTAGGGTGCGCTCAACATTCACTTTGCACAAGGGCTTTAATTAATTTTTCAGATTTTAATCATTAGGCATGTTTTAATATATCTGTCCAAAGAAAACTTTCAGGCTGTTATCTTTAATAGATGTTGTGATATTCACGTTCAAACATTGCCTCAGATTTCAATGTGTGAAAAAATGGTCAAAGTAGGTCGGCAGGCAGTTTCACAAAACATTATGTGCTGGACAGTATTTGATATATGAAGCCAAAATCTTGCAGCAATCATTCTGTGTCCAGACTTTGTGCCATAACATTTTTTTGCAAATTGGAAATGGTCACGCAGAAGGCCCGTGCTGATTTGAGACCCCTCTGTAACTTGTTATAATGGATGATGGTCAAAAGGTTCTAACACGTGAATGATGCAGTGAATGACGTTCAGGTTAGTTGATGTTTTCACTCAGGAGTGTGCCTCCTTTCAGCCCATCACAGCAGCTGCACCATCATTTGAAAAGTCAGCAAACCTTGCTCATATTTTTTTTCAGAGACAGTCTTCATAACTGCATGTTTTGGCAGACAGCAGAGCTGTTCCATGACTGCAATTTAACAAGCTGAAAGAAGAAGCTGCAGAACTCACTTTTGTAGGGAATTCTGTGGTCAGTGATCAGGCAAGTGTTTGACACACAGTAGGAATAGTTATAGTATTTATTATGAGTCTCCTAATGCTCTGAATCCAGTTCTTTCTCATTCATTTAGTTGATTGTAGTTTTTCAGAAACAATGGTCATTAGTGGCTTACTGGAATATTGAAATAAAAATCGGATCTGGTCTCAGTGGCAGTGTCATCTGTCACTGGTGACGAGTTCTAACTATGAAAGTCAGTTTACGATTTTAATTTTGTTGTAGACTGTTTTAAGATGCAAATCTTTTAAATCCCCACTGGAGACAAACATAATAATTTAGTGGGGGAGGAGTGGATGGGCATGTAGACACTGATAAATGGAATCACAAAATAACATGTCATGGTCAGGGAAATGTTAAACATATAAGCAAATGTTTAGCAATAATTAATCACTTCACTGGATTAATAATTAAATGTGTGAGCTCTCCTCTCTTGTCGCTGGTGGCAGGCACTAAAAAAGGAAAAAAGAGTTCATCCACCTGATTACCTCCACCTAAGCCTCAGCCTCCTTGGCACTGCCCCTCAGACACCACACCCCTGCCACAAGGCCATTGCCAGTTTCCGGTTATCTTCACCCTGATCCCTGGGAGGTACCTGTAATGGTATACTCTGGCTCTCTTCCACAGCGTGTCTTTTGTCCTGTCTCCCCAACCAGTCATGGTAGATGGCCCCGCCCCTCCCTGAACCTGGTTCTGCTGGAGGTTTCTTCCTGTTAAAAGGGAGTTTTTCCTTCCCACTGTTGCCAAAGTATTTGCTCATAGTGGGTCATATGATTGTTGGGTTTTTCTCTGTATGTATTATTTTATTGTAGGACTGTGCCTTGATGCAAATGATGTTGTGATTTGAGGCTGTATAAATAAAACTGAACTGAATTAATTAAATTGATTAGTACAATACTACCCTTTTACTGTGCACCCTTTCACTTACATAAGGCATAACCATGTTGTGGATATTAAACAGAAGTAAACAGAGATAACCTTAAATAGTGGCAATTGGGGAAAAAAAAAAGTTCTGCTATCAAATCATGCCCATCTATATTTTTCTGTGACAGCTGGAAAGATAGTATATTGGGGTAGGTTTAAAAAGATTTTAGTTTGAATAAAACAATATTATTTCATAAAATCCTGAATCGATTTTTAAATATAAATGTATTTTGCCAGAAATGCCAGAATCTCAGGTTAAAGCTCACAAAACTGTGTCAACAACCACCAAACAGCTAAAACAGCAAATGATTAAAGAGCAGGTAAACGGATTCTGCACAAAGATGTAAACACAAAGCGTGGATCGTTCTCCCGACGGCACGTACACAGAAATGCCATCAGGTGCTGAAAGCAGACGTCTCATAGATTCTGAAGCTGCAGGTTTCATCACTCTGACCAAAATTCACTGAACCAGCAGCAAACGAAGATCCAAACTACGCTTCACGTTTGAGAAACATTGTCATAAATTACCTCTGACTTTGGCTTTTACTTCCTGCACAGCTCTCTCTCTCAGTGTACTCAGCGACCAGTTTACCATCAAAATCTCTGTTTTCTGCATTATTTGCTTGCTTCTTACACACCGGTCTACCGTTTTGTACAGCACCGTCGCCCGCTGTTTCTTGGTTGTTGTGGGTTTTTTTTTCAAAAATGACCTTGGACAAGAAAAGCTTCATTTCTGCTGTTCAGTACTGAAAAAAACTTTACAAATGATGCTAAATTGCAAAATGCTTAGCTGTGTCTCTAATCAGACCTCTATAACTTTGCTCGGCTTCACTTCAGCAGCATCAGGTAATGTTCATATGTTGATATTGTTCATGGTTTTCTTCCCTTTTTCTATCTACTGAAGATTATCTGCTATAAAACGCCAGGCTAGGAAAGTCTTCTTCATGTTGTTCTGAGTTTTATCCTCACTTACTTTGACACAGAGGCCTCTGATGTGATGCTCACACCTCTGATGAAGTCTCACAAGTGTCAGCGTTGTTTTTACACATAGATATAAAAACATGGACATGTACTGATAAATGATCAGAATTATAATATTTCTGACTGACTGAGTCAAAATTGAACTGAATCTAATCAGTTACCAGTGTTGGGAAGGTTATTTTTAAAATGTATTCCACTACAGAATACAGAATACATGCCCCAAAATGTATTCTGTAACGTATTCCGTTACGTTACTCAATGAGAGTAACGTATTCTGAATACTTTGGATTACTTAATATATTATCATGCTTTTTACAACAACGTGAATGTACTATTGCTGTGTGATTTATTACTATTACTGAAGGTCCGCGCTCCGAACTGTAGTAAAGGGACCTCTGACTAATACGGCGGGGTCCCTGTCGGCTCGTAGCCGAAAAATAGCTTTACTTTGTTGTGTGGGTCAACTTTTCTTGCGAGAGACAGAGAGAGGCGTTGAAAGGCTGCTCCAACGGAACTTATTGTTTTCGGAGGAAAACACGAACACGGTGTACAGTCGAGTCTTAATAGCTTACTTACAACTGGGCTCGTCAGGCTCTCTTCTTGGCTGCAGTGGTTATTATTATATTTACATGCTTCCAGCTCCCGTTTTTCCTCGATGACAACTCGTACCTTTCCACTCCCCTTTTTCTCCCTCCTCGCGCTCACAGACCCATAACGTGTATGGCAGTCCATTCTCCCTGCAACACGGACTACACTGCCCATGATGCTACATTCTTTAGAGCTATGCTTGTAGCATTCTGCCTGTTAGCTTAGCACAACAACAACAACGAAAAGGCGCTCTCTCACCCAGGAAACACACAGTCGCAGAGAGAGAGAGAGCGTCGCCCTGTAACCATGGCAACCGTAACGCTGCCGCCTGGAACAACAGAACGTAGCTGTCAAACAAAACCCAAACAGTCCTGACCCGCGACAACATGAAACAGGAAAGTACCGCAGTGTAATCCATTTATTTCAACAAAGTAACTGTATTCTAAATACCACCTTTTTAAACGGTAACTGTAACGGAATACAGTTACTCATATTTTGTATTTTAAATACGTAACGGCGGTACATGTATTCCGTTACTCCCCAACACTGTCAGTTACAGAAATCGAAATTGATACCCAACCCTGATAGTACATATAGTACTCTAAATCTGATAATCAAATCCATTAGTGATTAGTTCACATTATCGGTTATACAAATGGTGTGCTATTACAAAAACAAAAGTCCATTTTTGCAGAACTCCATTCCTTTTTTTCCCCTTCTTTAGCTGTTTCATGCCGAAAGCAGGATGGTGGACAAGCAGACATTGAAGCTTGTCTTAAGTTTGCTAGCTCCATGCCATCTCTCACCCAACCCTGTCAGGTGCCCTGCCAGGAAGACTGTCAACTCAGCAGCTGGTCCAAGTTTTCTTCCTGTACAGCAGATTGTGTGGGTGTCAGAACCCGCAAAAGGATGCTAGTAGGTGAGTCGCCGACTTCCAGAAACTTTAGTGTTAGTTCAGCAGATGTAAAAGCATATTGTTACTTTTCTGTGTGTGAAGGTCACCACATTGAACCCTTCACTAGTGGAAAATTCTTATAGATGATAACCGTTTATCTTTTGCTGTTTCTGCAGGGAGAAGTAGAAAGCATGACCAGTGTAAAAACAACCAGCTGTATCCCCTAAGTGAGACCCAGTACTGCCCATGTAATAAATACAATGCCCAGCCTGTAGGCAACTGGTCGGACTGTATCCTATCCGAGGGTGGTCGCATGGAGGGTCAGCTTGGCATGAAGATACAAGGTGACATCAAAGAGTGTGGCCAAGGGTACCGCTACCAAGCCATGGTGTGCTATGACCAAGACAACAGGATAGTGGAGACTTCTCGATGCAACAGCCACGGTGAGTTTTCTGTGACTGAATAACTAAATCTGACCCCAAGGCGTCACATTAACACCGTTCCCCGCAGAGCAGGGGTCTCAAACTTAAATGAGCCGTGGGCCACAGCTAACACTGTCATCTCTTTGGAGTGCCACTTTAGTGTTCAAGTAGTACAAAAAACTAACCAAACAAACAAGAAAACACCCACAAATATTTCTGAAAGTGTAGATTTTTTTTAATTTCAAATATTATATAACAAGACAAAACTGCAAATGTGAACACAGTTTTTTTTCCTCCCTCTTAACAAACCGAAGCCTTTCATTTAACTACCAAATAAACACATTGGCCAGACACGTAACAGCACTTCTGCTATCATTTTATTGGTATTTAACAAAATAAAATGACAACTGAATGCTACTATCCACCTGTGCCTTAGAAATATGTGCAAAACATCACTGAATTGAAATGGATTTCGCAGCTCTGGGGAAGAAGCTGTGTCTCAGTCTGGTATGTTCATATAACGCTTTCCAGAAGGAAGCAGTATAAACAGTCCATTGCCAGTGTCAGTGGGGTCTGCAGCAATATGTCTGTCCCTTTCTTGGATCTGTCCAGCATACACTGAGTCCAGATGTGGAAGTGGAGTTCCCACAATCCCTTGTGCTGTTTTCACCTCTGCTGCCGTCTCTACTTGACAGGGTTACAGCTAAATGTTAGCTGCAAGATATATATATTTGCATTTGCTGATTATTCTAAAGACAATGTGATTAAGTGTTCAATCAGTGAAACTGTGTAAATTGTCTTGGTTGTCATATAGACAGCCTATGTTACTGATTTGCATGCTTATGTGACCTCTGTGTAGTGTCTTCTCTGGTCTGCATTCACAACAAAAAGGCAACAGGTTAGAATGCTTTCATTTATTGTCGTGGGCAGTCAGCGTAAAGACCTCGCAGGAATCCTCCATTATTCTGAGGATTACATTTACACTTGCAGTGTGATCATATAGTGGTAAAATTATATGAACGAAATAGAAGAACCTCAACACAATTAATCTGCATTTTAAATTTCCCAAATGAAAGGAATACAGAAATATATTTCAGAGCTGTACATAAAACAATGAGTATTCTCTAAACAGTGTGGCACAGTCACATTCCTGCATTCACAACAAAAAGGCAACCAGTTAGGATGCTTTCATTTATTGTCGTGGGCAGTCAGCGTAAAGACCTAAATGGAAAAGCAACAACAGCGTTAGCTAACTATGCTCCCGTGTTTTTTTCTCTCTCTTCCCAATAAAGAAATCTCACATAAATGTGCATCAATTCAACATAAGGACTGGAGAAATTACCCACAACAAATGATGTTTAAACAACAAAAATAATCGGGTCAGATTGTATTACTGTTACAACCTGCGATATGATTTTTCTTCCCCACGACATTTGCGCATTCCTTACCTTGTAGGAATCCTCCATTATTCTGAGGATTACCCAGAATCCCTTGCCCTTTGTGAATGTTGCAGGGTGACCTTTACAACAGTAAGTGGTGCCAATGTCCCATTTAGCGGGATTTAACTTCAACTCTATTTAACTATGTTACACTTACCTCACACAGTACTCTGCAATGAGAGTACTAACCGGTACCAGAAAGAGAAAGAAAGACTATATGCCTCCCATATTGGCTCCTATTCTTTAAATCCAGAGTAAATTTTAAAATGCTTCTCTCCAAATAGAAGGTCTTGAATAATCAGGCCAAGACCTCAAGGTGGCATATCACCCTAATAGAGCACTTAGTTTGAAATGGAGAGACCATACCTTATTGGAAAAGATAGAGAAAAGTAACCATCACAACACAACTTCACTACAACCTCGAAAGTACCTTGTTCTGACTTTATTAGATAGTGAAGTGAAGCAGGCGGCCAAAGCCATACGGCAAATGGCCACCTGCTCATCTCGGTGAGCTAAGCCACCACTATGAAAATACTATGTTTAACCTAAGTTTTTGCACACACATTTAAACACGTGCATAGAGAAGCTGTTGATTTACCAATCAATCTACGTTTCTTCCTCACCCATGGTCACAAAAGAATAGGCTTTAAATACAAGTGACGGATTAGTTTCCTTGAAAAAAAAATCAAGTTAAGGCAATTCGGTCATCTGACCAGGATGACTCCTGGATCACTTCCAGTTGAGGTGTTTCAGACATGTCTTACCAGGAGGAGTCCCTGCTCATTAGTCCATCAGATGGATGGACCATTTTTCACAAACATATATCTTGAAAATGATTGGATATGTGAAACAAAAATTTTACAGCAATTTAATATGTCCAAACTTTGGACCATAAGATTTTTGTGCAAACCAGAGATGGTCGAGCAGAAGGCCCACAATAATTTGAGACTGAATGACCTGTATGTCAAATAATAAAAACAGACCATTAAAATCTATTTTGCCATACACCTTCCTAAAACTGTGTACAGCCAAGATGCTGTCAAATATCTTGCTCTGCTTTTTTGTTATGTGACTGGTTACAGGGTATATCGAGGAAGCCTGCATCATTCCTTGTCCATCTGACTGCAAACTAAGTGAGTGGTCCAACTGGTCTCGCTGTAGCAAATCATGTGGCAGTGGGGTCAAAGTTCGCTCTAAATGGCTCCGAGAAAAACCATACAATGGTGGCAGACCTTGCCCTAAATTGGACCATGTCAACCAGGTGAGAGAGGGCTCACTTAAAGTGTTATATTCTAGCTTTATACCTATTTTTTTGGATAATAACTTAAACAATGCTGTTTTCTGTGGTTTCCTTGTCTTCTTTTACAAATGGATTCCACTTACAGGCTCAAGTAAGTAGGCTGCTGCTTTTTGTAATTATTTCATAAAGTTAGTTTTGGTATTTAGTTTTATTATAATGTATGATTTTCAAACTTAAGCAAAACTGAGTGGAAGGATTTAAATTTCCTCTTTGACATCATGCATCTGTGCCTGTAGGGTAACTGGTGTTTTTATGTGCATCAGGTCTATGAGGTGGTGCCTTGCCTCAGTGACTGTGGGCAGTATGTGTGGGTGGCAGAGCCTTGGAGTGTGTGGAAAGTCAGCAATGTGGACCTGAATGACAACTGTGGTGAAGGTGTTCAAACCCGAAACGTCAAGTAAGATGAACAGATTCATGTGTCAGTGTCTCTGAGCTTTAAACAGGTGATATTCTTCCTTTTGGAGGAAAAACAGAGCTGAGTGTTTGCTTGTGCTGAATTGTTAAAAAGTGATCAAAAATTAAAATAGTAGTGCATGATGTTATAACCCATATATACACTATATTGCCAAAAGTATTCACTGACCCGTCCAAATCATTGAATAGAATAGAAATATCCTTTGTTGTCCCTCTTTGGGGAAATTCAGGTGTTCCATCAGCAAAGTGACAGGCAGATGGAGCATGCATATTCACACAAAAGTAACGAAAGTAAAAAAAAAAAGAAAAGAAAAAAAGAAATAAGAGACTGTAAGGGCAAATTTAACATCCAAAAAAAAGATTACCATACAGTTAGTAAAAATAGCATACTCAAATTCAAAGAAATGTGAAAGTGAGTAAGATAATCCTTTTAAAAATATACAAAAAGTGCTATATATTTGTGCATTAAAAAACCTGACAAACTGTTTACAGAAAATGGGAAATGTGTGCAAATAACAGCAGGGATGTGAACAACCCTTGTTGGGAACAATCACTGCTCCCAACAACCTATCCGGTCGTTAAGTGATGACGTGACGAATCCTACTTGCAGGCCTAAAGTAGTCTGTGTTTAATATGGCTTTTGTGTTGTTAACATGTTTAATGTTTTGTATCTTGTTTTATTTAATCTCAAAAAGCTCCTAAAACAGTCAGTGATCACTGTTGACCTCCCTCGGCTTTTATTACCGCTAATCATTTATTTAAGCTCAGTTTTTAAAACCTTAGGATGTAACTACAGCCCAGCCCATGCAGCAGTATATGAATGACTAACCTCGTATTGTGGATGGATTATCTCAGTTCTCCTGGCTGAAGTTTGGTCCTTTTACAGCATCCTGCCATGCGATTACATTTGTTCCTGACCACCGAGAACACTCACGTTAACTTTTATCCAGTGGAAAAAAAAGTTAGCTTGTTTATGTTATGCTAACATAGCTGTGTCGCTAGCGGTCACGTAGCACATCATTATATAGCAGCTAGCCCAACTTCAGTAACCCTACAAACGTCACTGCTGTTTAGTTTTCTGTCTTCATTTAAGCTGGAAGTGATAACAGAGCTGTACGTTTGAATTTGTTTCCAAAACCCCGCAGTCAGGACATGCTATATTGTATTTAGATAGAAGCTAGCGAGCTAACTTCCTGCTAACTTCTAACTCCGTTAAATGTCATAAATTCCGTTTTCATGGATGCCTGGATGTTAAACTCAATTGTTACACCTGGTAGAGCAGAACGCTGATCATTTTATTAAAGATGAAAGACTTTAGACAGTTTTTCAACTCTCAGTAATGCCATAGTGATCGTTTGATATATGGACCTGCAGCGGAGTTTAGGCCCAGACACGGCTAGTGACGTCAGACTTAATGACCGGATTATGTTTATGTTTATTGGGAGCAGTGATGCTCATAAAGCTGTAAACATGGTAACATGAGACGGTGTTGTAACATTGTAAACATTGTACATGAAAGTTGTATTTGATCAGATTGTCTGATTATCTTAGCAGCAATGTGATGGCTGAGGGATAAAAGCTTTTCCTAAGTCTGTCTTTATGGATCTTAATCATCTGGCTAAAAGTAGACTTTGAAACAGGTCATGATCAGGGAGTGATGGGTGTTGAGGGATTTTCTTAATGTTCCTGAGACCACTCTCAGTGTGGGAGTTGTGCAGTTGTTTAAATGAGGGGAGTGGACAGCTCACTATCCGCTGGGTGACCCGTATAACCCTGCAGTGGTTTCTCTTCTGTGCTACTGTGCAGCTGGAGAAGGATACCAGGATACTTTCTACTGTGCAGTGATAGTAGGACACAAACAGTTTCTCAGGGATGTTATTCTTTCTGAGAACCCTCAGAAAGTAGAGTCTCTTGTGGGCTTTCTTCACTACCTCAGCGGTGTGCGTTCCCTTGATCGGGTCTGGCCTGATCATTTCACACATAATGTGCTGATGGAATTTAGAAAGCACAGATTTTAAATCCACATGATTAAAATCCCCAGTGGGGACTGGCCTTCATGTCCATTATCAGTGTCTGACCTCACAAATGTGCTTCTTGAAGAGTAGTCATAAATACCCATCATATGGAAAGTCTTCCCAGAAGAGTTGAAGCTGTTATAGCTTAGAGGATGGGTCGACATCATGTTAAACCATTTTCATTAAAAAATATATTTTTGGCAATATAGAGTACATCTGGTTTAATATCCAGATATTTAGCTTTACAAAGACTTTACAAAGACCACATGTATTCATGTTTATTAACAGCTTTCTTTCAAGAAGACTGTAAAAATAGGCTCAAATATTCGAGTGTTGTTGAAGGAATGCTGTGAAACTAACTTTTGCTTCAACTTTTTGTGACCAGGTGCATGCTGAACACTATAGACGGGCCCTCTGAACAGGTGGAGGACTATTTGTGTGACCCAGAGGAAATGCCTTTGGGGGCCCGCAAGAGCCACCTGCCCTGCCCGGAAGACTGTGTGTTGTCAGACTGGGGAGCTTGGAGCCCATGTCCACTGGTAAGGATGGAATGAAGTTGCCAGTCTTTTTTTTTTCTTTCTAAATCTTACATTGTTTCTGACACGTTGCCTTTATTATATAGTGGATAGTTGAAACCAGAGTTAAAGTAGTGGTTTTGAATTCAGAGATCTAGTGAAGGTAATAGTAATAGAGGAACCCCGCCTGTGTCAACTAAACCCGCTCTTCGTGCTAAAAAGGCACTCTGTGAATAAGTACATATGTTTGTTGATGGGTAAATGTGTCTTGTGGTGTAAAGGCAGTTTAAGAAAGATAAGTATGCTGCATAAAGGGAATTCTAATTTCCATCCATCCATCCATCTTCATCCGCTTATCCGAGGTCGGGTCGCGGGGGTAGCAGCCTAAGCAAAGAGGTCCAGACCTCCCTCTCCCCAGCCACCTCCTCCACCGGGGGAATACCAAGGCGTTCCCAGGCCAGCCGAGAGATATAATCTCTCCAGCGTGTCCTGGGTCTGCCCTGGGGCCTCCTCCCGGTGGGACATGCCTGGAACACCTCGCCCAGGAGGCGCCCAGGGGGCATCCTTGCCAGATGCCCGAACCACC